AGTGTATGGTTTATATAATTGCAATTTTATTTTAAACTGAGGGCTAACATAGCTATATATGGAATGACTCCCTATGCTTCAGCTACCTTATTAAAGACAGCAAGAAATTAAAATGGCTCATAGCATTATAATGGGAAGGTTTCTTTAAATCCTATTGATCAGCTTTTCAGGTAATGGGTCGTCTCCTTTACTAAAAAAAGAAAAAAATCTTAATTAAATGGGAAGGCTCAACATAGCAAATGTTTCATTAACTACAATTAGAGCAAAGACGAGAAAAAGGACTTTGAGTTTATGTGTATGTATGAGAAGAAAAGGAAGGAATTAGATTCATACGGGAGTTTAGAAGAAGAGGAAACTGCAGGTGGGTATTTGCTCAGACTGCTTAAATAGCTTCAAGGTTACAAAATTAATGAGGCAAGGGAATTGCTCAGATTCTGTCAGAGAACAGGAAGCTATGGCCTGAAGCTATGAGAGGAAAACGCAGACTAGCTCTTAAGAAACACAGTAAGTTAGAAAGAACATTTAGTGGTGAAGCAAACGCATGCACACACAAAAATTGACCGTGAAGCTACACCAGCAGAGATATTATATAATCAGTGAGGAAGGATTATGTAAAGCACAGTGTGGCACTGAATGGTCATCTTGTGTAACAAGGGGCTTCTCTACGGCTTCTGCCTGAGTCGGTTTTCAATCTTTTGGTTTCTGAGGACATTTGACATCCTACTATGCTCAGCATTCATGCATGATTTAATTTAACTGTAAAAAGCTATGCTTTAGGTGTTCTTATTAGCTTGTGCTGTAGATGAAGTAAATGAGGGGAGAGATATTTAAGAATTCCCCCCAGCTCACAGATAATAAAGGCAGAGCCAGGATTGAACCCCTAAGTTCAGTTATACGATTTCAAGGCGTATGTACTTCACGGGGCTCTACCGTTTCTGCTGTTGAGATAGTAACAGAGTTTAAACACAAAATTGGATATTCTTCAGCACCACAAGGTCTTGGTTTATCTTTTATTCCCAGAATTATCTTAATAAATTCAGAAGCTTAAATGAAAACGCAGCATGAAATAGTTTGTGATGCCCCCTCACTACTCCACAGCCTCCCAAATTGGGTCCACAGTCCCATAACAAGGACCTGGAAGGCTCGGTGTCCAGTCTACTCCTTACTGGTCCACTTTTGCTTCTCTCTGCTTTACAATATCCACTCCCGAGAAGGTTCTGGAAGGCCCACATAAGGGTCATGCCTAACATGCTTTGTTCTGTAGAGTTCTCAGATGCTTCTGGCACAGACAAGAATATGCTTTCTGCTGCAAGGTTTAGAAAGTTGTTATCTGGGGAATTTCTGCCTGCTGCATCTTTTGAAATTCCCTAAAACATTTTTTTTTGTTATAATTTCAAAAAAACTGAGAGAATGTCTACTGCTCTGCTTTTATTCTTAGTTTCCTTTCCAATGGGACATTCCAAATGGACAATGCAAATTTTCCTTACAGGTCAAGTCTTGACTTAAAGTAGATATGTGGAAAGCTTTGTCCTGTATCCAATTTCATCTTCTTCTGTAAGATTCTGCCCATGAACTTATTCTGTGTTTAAGACAGAGATTCTAAGCCTAGTCTGAGGGAGTCCAAATCACAGAAAAATCATGGGATTCACTCAATAGGGGTAATAATCCAGTCATAGCAATGGTGCATCAATTTACAATTGATGCACCAATTGATGTACATTATATCTAGAATGTACAGGCACATACCCACACACATATGAACTTGCTATTAAGGAAGTAACTTTTAGACCTTAGCCTAAAATAAATAATAATACAGATTTGCCTTAATCCCCATTCCGTATCTTACTGGGTGAGCAAATATAACATTTTAATACATGATTCGCCTTAGTATACCATAAGTCCTACTGAGGACCAACTTTACCAATATTTCCATTGACAACTCTTACTCTGTAGCAAGGCTTTATTTCAAAATATGAGCATGTAGTTACGGTTGGAATTTGTCAGAAGGTATTTTATTAATCTAATCATAAGCAGAGGCCATAAAGCCTTCAGTTCATTTAATTGAAATCTTAGAAAACAGCCTCCTTACCATCCCTTGAAAAAAATGAGCATAAGAATCATCATTTATAGTCAGTGTATTCATTTTATACACAATGTGAATTAGTTCATTAACATTAGATTTGATTCCATCTAAAAAGCTGCTTAAGTTAAATAAACTCTTGAAATATTCTTTGTTATCAGGGCAATTATTTTTCCAGGGCATCAGCTACCCTCTGGCAAAATTCTAGTTCTAAAGCATATCATAAACCACTGTTCTGATAAAGGAAACTTACCAAGTATGTCTCGTTCTCAGGGTTTATTTAGCTCATATCATATCATTACTAGATAAACAAAGAATAATAGAAGAGAGATAATTTTCTCAATACATTTTGGCAATGTAGTTTGACAGATAGGATAATGAATCTAATTTAATGCATTGTATAGGCAATATACTCCACTAGTTTAATACATTGTATAGGCAAATTTATTACTTCAAATCAACTTAGAGGTTACTTAGATCACTGTCTTATAAAGATACTTATTATTCCATATGATGGTGCTGCTTGTTTTTCAAAAGAAAGAGACTGAACAATTGTTTCTAATGGCTATAAGAAAATTCTTGATACAGAAAAGATACCAAACTTATTTTCACACAATTTTCATTTTATACATTAATGGTAAGAACACATACATTTAAATGATGATGGAAGAGTCTTATTCACCATTTCTAAAGCTCCCTGATCAGATTTGCAATTGTTACAAAATGACAATTTAGAGACATGTAGTGATAGTTGTACTTCTTATCAAATGTTCTTGAAAGCTAAACTGTATAAGACATTGCAAGAAAGAAAACTACCTTCCTTCATAAAAGTAGTAATTTTGAAAGAGTACAGGGGAGAAAAACAAGGTGGGGCCCACATGGTCTTCTTCCAGGGCGGGCCAAATATGGAACCACCATGCTCTTCTTCCCCAAGGATTTCAGAGCATCAGTCACTGAAGATCAGAGATGGGAGGCAGAGGGGAGGGCTGCAGTTCAAGGAAGAGGTCAGCACTGCCTCTGCAGGGTGTCATCTAATGAGTTCTTAATGAAAAATCAGGTGCTCACAAGCCAGAAGCTCTTGGGTTCTGCAGGAGGCAGGAGGATGGCCTCCAGTGAACCTGGACTCAGTGCTGTCTACAGGAAAGGCATTGATGTTTGCTGAGTTACTTATTTCTGCTGTATCACCATGCACTTGTGCATGAGGGGTCAAAGCATATGAGGAGTCTTTGTTTTAAATATTCAGCTTGATTATTAATTCTCTCATGCCTCGAGGGATATACATTGGCCAAAAAAAAAATATATGATAATTAAAGAAGACACCTGTCTCACCCCTCTAGAACAAAGCCAGTCATAACCAATAATTTAAATTGGTGTTTATCATCAGTATTTAATAAGGGAGCTCCTAAAATACTCTACATATCTATTATCAAGATAACACAGAATTCTTCAGAGGGATTTCAGTGTGTTCATGGTTTTGTGCAACCAACCTCAATCTACTTCCAAAATATTTTCATCACCCCCAAAAGAAATGCTGTACCTATGAAGCAGTTGCTTCCCCTTTAGTACCCCCCATCATCTGGAAACCATCAATCTGTGTTCTGTCTCTGTGGATTTACCTTCTGTATACCTTTTATATAGATGGGACCATATATCACCCAATTTATTTGTGCTTGGCTTGCTTTTTAACATAGGTGTTCAGGTTTGTACATGTATCAGTACTTCATTCTTATGGCTGAGTAATATTCCACTGAATGTATATAACACATTTCTTTATCCATCACCTGTTAATGGACACTGGATTGTTTTTAAATAATTTTTAAGTATAATTTATCCGAAATTTTCATGCTTATTTATAAATGAACTTATGTATCATTTGTAACCCCTACTACTGGAGTATTGTGAGTACTGTGAGGTCAGGGACTTGCCTGTCCATTACCTTATCCATAGTAAATCACTGCTGAGTAAATACATTTACATTCTGATGACGTTAGAGCATTTGTCATCCATAGATTTCCTCTCAAATCAACTGCTTACACTCTTCCTTTCCCTGCTGCTACTACCCAAAGAAAGATTTCTCAATAGAACTGCAGTCTTCACTGCCAGGCTCCGGAACAACTTTAGTATTTCTCGATAGCTTGTGATGTTTCCCAGTTCTACTATCATAAAATTCACCTTGAGTGAATGTTAAGATTGCACAAACACCAATTCAAAGGAATATATAATGTCCCATGTTCAATACAACATGGTTTACAATAGTGAAATTAGAGAAGTAACCTAAATACCCAAGGACAAATGAGTGGATTAGGAAATGTGGTATATACACACAATGGAATACTATTCAGCTATATAAACAAGATGAACTCTTGTCAGTTTTCAATAACATGAACGGAACTGGAGAGGATTATGGTAAGCACAATAAACCAGGAGAAAGACAACTACCAGATGGTTTCACTCATATGAGAAATATAGAGAAACAAAATAGTCAGACAACACCAAACCAACAACAAACTTCACCCAGTCTCCTCTAATATTAACATCTTAAATGATCATAGTATAATTATCAAAATCAGGGGATTGAAAGAATATTTTAACTAATCTATAAATCTCATTTGAATATTACCAGTTTTACCACCAATGCACACTTTCTGTCCAATGTCTAATCTAGGATGCTGCATTAGATCATGAAAGGGTAGGTTAAATTCACATATCATAAAATTTAATCTGTTGAAAAGCACTGGTCAGTAATTTTGCAGAATTGTCCTGAGTGGGATTTGTCTGATGTTTTCTCATGCTTAGGCTAAATTATAACCTTAGGGGAAGAATAGAACAGAGGTTACATTGCACCAATACATTGGGTCAGGTATTCATGATGCTGATAGCTACTAATATGAGCATGAGTATGTTTTAAAGCTCCCAAGCTGTGCTCATTTTGGCAGCACACATACTAAAATTGGAACAATGGACAGTAGATTAGCATGATCCCTGGACCAGGATGACATGCAAATTCATAAAGCAGTCCATATTTTTTAGTACTAATAGCAGAATAATCCTTCTTTAATGGATTCATTCCTGTGTAAATCATTGAAAAAGTGCCACATTTGAAAGATAATTTAATGGGGGTTCAGGAAAAAATGAACCTGACTTTAGTAATTAAAAAGAATATATATCTGTAACTTCAGGAAGAAATGCTAATATTGTGTTGAATAGTACAGATAGATGCATGTGCTAAATCAGGGATAATTTTGATTGATTGATATTTTAATCTTTGATAGTATTCTAATATCACCCATTGAACAACAAACGTCTGATTTTCCCAATCTAGGCACACATACCTCTTTAAAACTATCACAATACTTAAGTATTCTGCAAATTTTGGTGCTAAATGTCTATTTATTATTCTGATACAGTTAAAGGCACCCTTCTATGAAGTTATATAAAATAAAAACTTCTGATTCTTCAGGATTAATGTCAGGGATTGCATGAATGTAAAACTCCCCAGTAATTTCAATATGCAGTCAATTTTGAGAACCAGTAGTGCAGAGAAAATTATGGTGTCTTCAGAAATCTGTGGTAGCTTAATGAATCCTGCCATTTTGGATATTACAGAAAGGATAACAAGAGAACAATTCTGGAATATTGAGAACTGATGCTAGAAATATAAATACAGATATAAATAATTTAAATACAAGTATGAATAGCTGACATTTAAGCTTAAATATTTTTATTGAATATATACTACCTGCCAGGCACTGGAAAAGAAAGATAAATAGGACATAAACTTATCCCTCAGGGAGCTTAAAGTAATGGGGAAGAAAATATGTTTAGCATAAAACATCAAGTGCCAAATTGGAGGAACTATGAATTCTTACTGGAAGTGATGTTACTTGAATGGAATCTTTTTTTTTGTTTGTTTGTTTGTTTTTTTAGAGGCATGCTTTTATTTTATTTATTTATTTGTTTGTTTGTTTTTGTTTATACATGCACTGGGTACAGTCAGAAATGCGGGAGGGTGAGAGAATTCACCAGAGCCAGAGCGGGGAACAGAGCAGGCAGAAGGACCGAAGTACACTGCTGAGGGGAGCAGTGGGCGGCAGGAGAGGTCTGCGCGCCTTGTGGGACCCTCCTCCGGTGGCCGGGGAGCAGCCGGGGATCGAACCAGCACTGCAGAGGCCGCGGACAGCTTCGCAACCCAGCGCTCAACCGCTGCGCCACTGGGGAGACCCTTGAATGGAATCTTTAAGGAAAAAGAAAAGATAACTACTGAAAGGTGAGAATGGCAAGTTTTATTGGTTGTAAGTAGAGGGAATAGGCGATGAACATTTTGCTATTCATATAGTATACTTTTTAAAAATACATAAGAATAGAAATTACATAAGATTAATATGTCATTTGTTTAGTTTTGATTTTGGTTTTTAAAGTTCAAGATTTTAGGACTTTTTCTTCAAACAGTATATATTTATAATTGTGCCTACACTTATTTTTTCCTGCTTTTGGTTTAGAAAATTTTTCTTTCCTGGGATGCCAGCAAATGCTTATGGAACACTACCTACATTGCTAGGATGCTGAACAGTGCTGAAAGGCCTTTCAGAGAAAGAGATCAAAGGAGTCTTCAATGTTCAGGATACTATGAATTATTTGCAGAGACACATTAAAATGATCTGATCCACAAGCCATGATGGCCATCCTCTGCCTCATGGGAACCATTGTGCAACTAAGTAAACTGAAATCAAGGCACTACTGTTAAGAGAAATGAAATAGTCATACTAGTGAACTTACTGCATTTCAAAAGAATTTTGTATCTGAAGATCTAAGGATAATCACAGTCTCTGACCACTTCCATCCACTGAATGTAACTTTTGCAAGTTCAACAGTCACTGAATTCACCTAGCAAGAGTGATTCTGCTTTAGAAAGAATTATCAAATGCCTCCTTTTAAATCAAACCTACTTTAAAATTATTAGCTACAGCCTAAAAGGAAATAAAAATCACCAAGAATTCCCACTCACTAAGATACTGAGCTTAGATGTGGCCTTCACATTCTAAACTGAGCTGTTATCACAAACGAGGATCAGAATATAAGCACTGGCTGGGCATTTCACTTTCACCTATAATGGTTAAAAAGTGAACCACGTGCTACAGCAAATAACTAATTAAAAGTTTTTATAATTTTGTACTTATACCCAAAGTATTTAAATAGAACAGGACTTTCTGTGGCTCATTTCTTTTGTTAATTGTAATTTCGACTAAATTTTGTTCATTTCGACAAGAAACACTCCTTCATCACAACAATTATCAACCCTAGATAGCTGGTGCTGTTTGGATACTATGTCTAATTGACTATTTCCTAAAATAAACATAATGCTCTAGGAAAAGTGGATTTCCAAAAAATTTACATACTTATTTTAAAATGCAACAGCTCTTGATAGTAAACTATTTGGCTTCTCTTACACCAATTAAATGCCCAAGTAAACACAGGTATAACAGAATGGGAGCACAGAGAAAGGAAAGTTCCATTTTGGGACTAAGGAGAAGGTTTCATAGGAACAATAGTGTTTGAAAGATTCATTTTTAGTTATTTAAGCAAAGCAAGAATTGGGGTGTAGGCCAGAGGTGTGGGGGGTTGGTGAGAGACAGTGTGGGGAGCAGAACAGGTAGGTCTACTGAAATACACTGCTTAGGGGAGCAGCGGGTGAGACAGGAGAGGTCTGCTGTGCCATGTGGGTCAGCTCCCTGGCTGGTGATTGAACACATGCTGCAGTGGTTGGTGATAGCTTGATAGTGCTGAGACTTTAATCCCTGCACCACCAAGGAGGCCCCAGGAGTGGTAGTATTTGAACTGAGTTTGAGAACATTGCTAGGTCACTAATTTGCTGAGGATTAGAACAGAGGACCATTTTGGATAAAGAAACAACTGCATGCTTAGCACTATGACAGCTATTTCCTGCCTTACTTGGTCATGTGCATTTAGGTTGGTCTATTAAACATTCCAGACAAATGGATTTATTTTCACTATGAGTGAAATTCAGATGAATGAAGCTTCTGGAATTCTTGCAAATGATCTATAGGACATGCTAGTGTGTGGACATATCCTATGATTTTTTTTTTTTTTATAAAGGCATTTTTTATTTATTTTTTATTTGTTTGTTTGTTTTGTTTATACAAGCACTGGGTACAGTCAGAAGCACGGGAGGGTGAGAGAATTCACCAGAGCCAGAGCGGGGAGCAGAGCAAGCAGAAGGACCGAAGTACACTGCTGAGGGGAGCAGCGGGCGGCAGGAGAGGTCTGCGCGCCATGTGGGACCCTCCTCTGGTGGCCGGGGAGCAGCCGGGGATCGAACCGGTGCCGCAGAGGCCGCGGGCAGCTTTGCAACCCAGCGCTCAACTGCTGCGCCACTGGGGAGGCCCCATATCCTATGATTTTGGCTCTTACTCTCTGTCTACAATATGCATGGAATGTTTTAAGGGCTGTGACTACAGCATCTTTCTGTCATGGAATCCTCTGCTGTGAAGAGAGTTTGAGATGATCACATGGCCAATAGAACTCAAGACTTGCGTCACAGGTCTCCAAGTCCAACTCCATAGTAGCATTGTGACTTTGGGTGGATATTCAAGCAATTTAAGCCACATTTTTCTTAGATATAATGTAGGAATGATGACAACATCTACCTCATGTAATAACTGTAAGGAATGTTAGACTCTAGGAAAACCTCACCAGCACAATGCTAGGCAAATAGTAAGGACTTAGAAATACCATTTATTTTTATTCAAGATGGCTTTTACTAAATTATGTTTTTCCCAAAGGCAGGAGCTACAGAAGGGAAGATTGACTTGGACACAGGAGGAATGCCTGAATGGAAAATGATATGTGGCCCATATCACTTATACCTTTAGTTTTTCATCTACATGATCACACCTTTTAAAAAAGATACAGTGGCACATTAGTAAGAAAGAACCCTTGGTGTCAGGTGCAGAGATAAATTCCAGAGTTAAAAAAAAAATTAGAACATCCCCAATTCAGCAACATTCCGTGTTTACTCACAAAGTCAACAGATGTTCATTGGATGTTTCTTATGTATCTGGTTCTGAGCATTGTGTTAGGGACAGGCAACAAAACCAAGCAGCAATGACCCTGCCTTCCTGGAGATTATGGTCTAGATAAAGCTGACAGTGACTTTTATAATGTTTGATGGGTTTTATGACAGGAACCCCCAGAGGGGGTGATATAGGAGTTCTCCAGTAAGATTGGGGCATCATCATTTCTTTTGCTTCAAGGGAGGCTATGTCTGTGCAGGCTGTTCTAATTCCCTGCAGGAGATGGATGGCCCATGGATTGACATTACTGCTGCTGGTTTCTTCCATTGATCATAACTTTGAGGCAGGTATAATCTTTGCTAGCAACAGGATTGCTGCTTTATGCTGCTTTAATATATTCATGAATGTGCTGGGGTTATTTTTGTGTTGTGATCAATTCCACTGAGGGGGAAGAAGTCTGTGATTGGATGTTTAGACAAGCAGTTCTTTTTCTGCAGCTGGTTTCAGGCTGACAGAAAATGGCACATTTTATAATACTCACAGACTACATTACCTCTATTCCCCCAAATATTTTGAGAACTCTAAAAATCAAATCCAAATCTCTTCCTCTTAACATGAAATGACAAAACAATAAGCATACTCATCCAACTAATATATTCAGCAGTCTCTTACACATAGTAATTTCCTGATAGCTACTTCATCGAGCCCCCCCAAATACAGTGTATTAATTAAATTAAAACTACTGCTGGGTATCAATTCATTGCTGAGGCAGAGTAAACTACTTTGTAAGTCGCCCTTTTCTGCTGGTTAGAGAAGAAAATATTTATTCAGGTTTCTTACTCATGTTTTCATATACTGTAACATTTTAGGTGCAGTAAAAACACTGAACATTAAATCTACCCTCTTGACAATTTTTAAGAGCACAATATAGTACTGTTACATACAGGTACATGTTTATAGTTGCTGCCTCTGAAGTCTCAGAATTTTCCTATTATC